CCAACAACAAAACTCAAAGACACTCTAAGCTCAAGCTGTCTCGTTATAAAAGGCTTAATCCAAGGAAGCGAAATGACAAGCAGCTGCTGAGCATGTACTGTAGAACCAAGGCCATCAGGGTGCATGTGCTGGACAACCAAGGCCATCAGAGTGCATGTGCTGGACAACCAAGGCCATCAGGGTGCATGCTGGACAACCAAGGCCATCAGGGTGCATGTGCTGGACAACCAAGGCCATCAGGGTGCATGTGCTGGACAACCAAGGCCATCAGGATGCATGTGCTGGACAACCAAGGCCATCAGGGTGCGTCTACTCAACATCCCTTGGGCAGAGTGGTGGTGTTAGCTTTACTACCAACATGATCAAAGCCATTGATCAATACAGTTGCTGAGACCCAAGAAACTAATTCTCAGAGAAGGTACCAATTTTATATGGTCCTTATACAAGAAAGTGGAGTCCTGATACCAAAAACAAGTTCTCTCACAAACTCTCTCTAACATAACTCTCTAACACAAACTCTCTCCCAGTCCTCAAGTGGCAATAAGACCTAGATCAGCTATGATAGAGTTGTGATTTTCAAATCCTAGCTCCTAAGCAACCTTAAAAAAATATCTATTGGACAGCGAGAGAATGAATTTGATCAAATGTTTAAAAGGTCTGAACTGTTTCTACCCAATGACCATTAACTTGCTAAGCAATGCTTTCTATAGACCCAACACACAAGTTTCTCAGGCAAGAAGCTCTAAGAAAACACAAAAGGGAAGGTTCTGCCTCCCAAAGGAAGCCAAAACCATAAGGTTATCGAAACCTCAACTGAACAGTGCTAAGTATCATGAAGTGACCAAACTTTGACAGTGGGGTACGCTAAAGGAAACATATATTTTTGGGGAGGGAGATAAAAGAAAGAATTTTCCTGTGGTAAATTTAATTATAAATTATATGAAATGATAACATCATGGAAAATGTCTGACCTGCCACAACCTCCTTCCCTGGAGAGAAACATCAGCCAAAAAATTGAGTTTACAGGGTAGTGGATGAGCACAAGGAAGCAATACTGGATTCATTCAAAACATCAATACAATCTTTATGTCTGTAAGAGTACACATTCAAAAATCCAATCTGAGGACCAAGGCTTTTTCTCACTCTACTCAACAACTGCCAGGTGCAGAGAGCAGAATGAAGCTGAAAATTCTGTGTTCCTCTACCACTGGTCTTCATGTGCCTGGAAGCAAAGGTAAGCCACTTAATCAGAGCCTACTAGAGAGAAAGTTTCCATTGCTGGAGGAAAAAGTGACCAATAGACTCCTCTATGAACCAAAATAACACAGAAAGGCAGGCTGAGGAAATCATGAAACACCTGACTTCTCCATGCTCTATTAATAACAAAGAAATCATAAGTGAGGGCTGCCAGGGGCATCATGCATAAAGACATGAGCATCAAAGCATCAGTCATCCTGGTCATCACCTTCCACGAGTGATGTGGGATTTGCTTTCATTAAAGAATGTTCTCAATAGGTGTGATATCTGGGGAGAATTCACAAGGACAGCCAGTCCGGGTTTTGGTCTGTGGTATCTGCTTCTTTCATACACATCTCTACATTTAAAATGTGGATTCCTACTTCAAGCTTTAAAGTGCTATATTTGAAACAAAATACTTGGGGAGGGGGAACCACTGACCACTGGCCATCTCACATACTGAAACTGTGAGTGCAGCCATGCTTCAAGAAATAGCTACAGAAGCTGGGCCTACTGCCACATCCCAGTAGTTTGCCACAGGGTTTCTGCAACTTGGCATAAACAATATATTTGGGGTATAAAGAATTAAATTTTACTAATAGCATCAAAAGAACAGATAATGATTTTAAAAATTTACTTTCCAAAACCTCTGAGGTGTAATTATGAAAGTTTGTTAGTATTCAGTGATGCTAATAATATCATATCATAATCTAACTCACATCTAAAACAGGAATCAGCCTCACACTACATTGTTTTCGTGTCATTTACTCTTCATTTCCCCATCTCCAGATGTCAGCTTAGATGTCCAATGTTCCCTCAAAGCACTTAAGTTAAAAGTTTGGTGCTCAGCCTATAGGACAAGAAGAAGCTTCCTTCTTAAGGAAGGAGAATCTAGTGGAAAGAAGTGAGGGGGCAGGCACTTGAAAGGAACAGCGGGAATCCTGGGCCCTTCCAGTATCTCTCTTTGCTTCACATGCTCAGTGAAGACAACAGGCTTCTCCTACCATGCAGTCTCACCACAGTACACCTCGAAGAACAGAGACAAATGACCACAGACTGAAACTGTGAGACTAAAATAACCCATCTTCTGCTTTGGGGATGTAGTGTTGGGTGTTTACTACAGCACTGGCATGCTGGCTAACATGCCAAATGTTTCTGCATTTGAAATGTAGGATCAGAGCATTTAGCATTTTAATATATGTGTGATATGCTTAGCTCACTGCCCACTGGAGTAATAACTCAAGAGCCACGCATTTTGTGACTATCACGGGGTTAGCCCACTCCTCGAAGGGCTGATTTACAGAGTGGAAGACTGATGATCTGGACCACCGCCCTGTCTACAGCATCGCTTTTGCACCTATCCTTTTCTTAATCTTCTGCACCTATCCTTTTCTTAATGGCTCTTCATCTGCCATCAACTTCAAATCCTCTTGTCAGCTCAGAACCTTTTCTATCCCACCACAAAGAAGAAAGGATGTGAGGTTATTTTACAGCAAAGGAAGTGAGTGCCGCCATCTATCCTTTTTCCCTGGAGTGAGATGCGCTCTTCCACCTTGTTTTGTTGTTAAATCAACTCATTCCTGCTGCAAAACGCATGAATCTGTGTGAAAAGGTGTGACATGTATCTTTACACTAGCTACTTAATGTTTTGTAATGATTTCATGTATAGCCCAATACAGTGTGACAGCTTTTTTTAAACGACTTGCTTTTATTTCGTATGATGTATGTATGTATGTATGTATGTATGTATGTATGTATGTTTGTATGTATTTACTATTTTGTGTGTGAGTAGGTGGGCATGCCTGTGAACATGTACTCATTTATGGCATACCTGTGAAAATCAGAAGACAACACATAAGAATCACTTTTCTCTTTCTAACATGTGGGTCCTAGGGATTGAACCATGCTCAGTGAGTGGCTACTTGGTGGTCTCTGAGCTACCTAGCTACCCTACTCCTTCAACTGCACTTGAAAGCAGACATTAGAAAGCTGGGAAGAAGGATTTATGCACACCTAGTAGCAAATGACTAGCAGTTATTAAACAAAACATGTGAGGACTACAGATAATCAATCTCAGAACAGGAAACAAGCCACTTTTTAACATGAACAAGAAAAGAAATAGCTGTGTCCCAAAAGTACACATACAATGGTCAGCAGGTATATGGGAAATACATTCAGCATCAGTAGTTATGGGGGAGGGGACGAAAATTAGAAGTTCAATGGGGTATCACTTCTCACCTGTCACAATGACTATTACCAAACAACAACAACGCAAGTGCTGGCAAAGATGTGGTGAAAAGAGAGCCATTAACTTGAGCTTTCTTCACAGGAATATAAACCAGCAGAGTTATTCAAAACTAAGCCACCATACAAATGAGTAGCTCCATTCCTATCTATGTACCAAAAGGAAGATACAGGTGCAGTCCTATGCTCACTACAACGTTGTTCACAAAAGCCAAGATACAGAATCCATCTGGTGTGAAAGGGTAAAGAAAATGTGGCCTATGCGTATGTACAATGGAATATTACTCAGCTGTTAAAAAAAAAGAGGAAATTCTGTAGTTTGCAATAATATGGTTGAACCTGAAAGATGTCAAGAAAAATAAACCAGGCACTGAAAGATCAATACTATGTGATCTCACTTATGTGTCAGATTTAAGAAAGTCGCATCCACAGAGACAGAAAGTCTAATGTGCTATTAGGGTGAGAGGTAGGGAAATTAAGGAGAGGTTGGTCAAAGGACACAGAATTTCAGTTAGGTATGACAAGCGAGTCAAAGTAACTGGTTGTAGTGGCCACTCTAGTAACTCTTACCTACCTAAACATGCTGAGAGACTGGAGGCTGCTCATTAAGAATAAGTATATGAAGTGAGAGCCCCAGTCATGCTACAAAGAATGACATTTCAAAACACGTTGTGCCCCGTAAACTAGATTCAACTCCTATTTGTCAACAAAAGCAAACTGCACAAGTTCGACCCATAAGTTCATTAAAGAAGCACGCTTATAAATAAACTCAATTTAGTCACTCCAGAATACTGTTTCCAAACATGCCATGCATTATGAATTATAATTTCTATTTGTCAGTAAAATTTAAGAGGAGAGATATTTTAGCCACAAACTGATAAAAGTGGCAAATAACAAGTTAGTGTTAAGGGAGCAAGGAGTTTTATTTCAAATTTGCCACTGTTCCTCCCTGGGTAATACACAGGGCTACCACCACTAATAAACTAGACTCAAGGTCTAATTCATCATTCCACAGCTTCAAATTAAGATTCTGAACTTCCCGTCGTATGTCCTGTAAGCAAACATCAACCCTAGACACAGATAGGTAGATGGCAAACAGAGACGGAGCCACTGGCACATGTCAGCACACCCTGAGAACACAATGACTCAGCATACCCTTCATCAGCACGGTAATCATAACCCAGGGAGAGGCTAAGAGGCTTGCAGGGGAGTGCATGGAACAGAAATGATTTACAGGGTGGATAGCACCATCAAGTTTTAAAATGCTCCTCATGAGCAGTAAAAGTCTCAATGCACTGTCTTTTTTCCTGGCTTAAAATACATAATCACTTTTTTAGCCAAAGCCAATGGCATTTACAGTAATTTTTTTTTCAAAGTTAGAAGCCAGAGTCTATTAAGTGCCACATCCAAGGCTTTCACCCACTGGCAGCTGGTAGCTGCAGATGCTATCTAGTTAAATATTCTGCACAAGAGAAAGATAATCATCAGAAGGCCAGCTCAGTAGAAACAAAGAGATATACCTGCAGGTTTTCGATTTCTTCTTTGTGCTCCCTCTTCAGATGTAGGATAGCAGCCTGGTATTCTGGAAGATCACAAGAGAAGCCAGTTACAAAGCAGCATGAAATGAGTCAGAAAAGTCAAGGATGCATCACCTGGATCCTGTTGGGAGCCACCCTCCAAACAACCAAAGGTGTGGGCAGGAAGGAGAGCTGTTAGATCCGGCCAGGATGTGGGATAAAGGGGGATTCCTTCTCTTCCATACAGGCTGTATCACAAAAAGTGCCAAATTAAGCAGCAAGGGCAGGGTTAACAAGAGAAGAGGCTCGTGAGTGAGTGCCAGATAAAGAATAGGTCAGGTGTCTGTCTTCAAGGAGCTGAAAGTGCATGCCCCACAGAGAACAAACACAGATGTGTTAAGAGAGGTTATAAAAGAAACTTTCTATCTGAGAGTACAGAACTCTATTTTTAACTCTGTTTAAAAAAAGAAAACGCACACAGAGAGACGCTAATGCTAGGTCCTTTCTCCTTTCTCGGTGCTTAATCCAGAGAAAGCCAAGGCTATTTGTCATTTGAAAGAGAGATTCCTGAGAGAACTGAGGCTGAAAGCAGGACAAAAATAAATTTCTAGTCCACTTTTCATCTGAATATAATGACATCCATTCCAAAAATATGACACCCCCCCCCATGTATGCAGGGGCTGCAGCCAGCTACTAAAGCTTCCAGTCCACTGGCTGATAAAGGAGACAAGACCACTTTCAGAACAGCTAATGTGCATAGAACCATAGAGACAATCACGCTGCAGAGAACTACAAAGCAAGAGGCTGTCACCACTGACTTTTTTTTTTTTTTTTGAGACAAAACAGCTTTTTACAAGTGTGTTCAGAGTCACAAGTCTGTATTGCAACAGACTATTTCTCTACTTCAGTATCCTGAGTTAGGCAGCCATGTTGGGGATTCAATTCAAAGGGGAAGACGATAGGAAAGACCCACCAGGAGAGGAGGTGGGCTGTTGAGGCCTATGCTTAGCAATATGGCAGCCCTGTGGCTAAGCTCCAGTGTCGATGCTGTAGGCTCTCTATGTAGACCATACCATGAATCAAAGTACTTACTGCTATCCACACAACCACCAATGTAGTCTGGGACACCATCATCTTTCCTGTGCTCTACATCCTCCTTTTCAGAGGGTGCCTCATTCCTCTCTCACTAACATCAAAACTGAGTCTCCTCATGACAGTCTGCCCAATCTATTACAGACACAACCTAGACTGTGTCTTACTCCTGGCTTTCCATGGAACTTGGCATGAAGACTCCTACCTGTAGGTGCTGGGGAGGTGGCTCAGTAGTTACAGTGCTTTCCGCACAAACATGAAAACTCGAGTTCAGATACCCAGCACCCAAATAAAAGCTGAATATGGTGGCATGTAACTGAAGAACTGCACCAGAGGACTAGAGACAAGTAGACTTCAAGGGCTTACTGGCCAGACAGTCTAACCAAAACATAAAGGTCAGGGTTCTATGAGAGGTCCTGTACCAAAAAAAATGTGATTGAGAGCAATTGAGGAAATCACCAGACATCAAACTCTGTGTCCATATCCCTGCCACACAGGTATGGGAGATAACACCTACACACACGAGCACACAGGTACACACACACACACACACACACACACATACACACACCACATACAGGACTGTAGCCCACAGGCTTCTCATGATCTCTGTCTTCTCTCACCTAATGTCACTCCTCCTCCTTATCCATTTCATTACAGGTACGATGGCTTCTTGCCAACTCTTAAATTTGCCAAATGCTTTTCTAATGGACTTTGAGGTACAGTCCCAACCTCTGTGACAATAAATATGTAAACCCCGGTCAATCTAATCTATAATGCAGTCAAAGGAAACCAGTTAACTCAACCTTCTCGAAAAAGCAATGCCTCTTGGGAGAGCATCTACCCTCCTCTGAACAGAAGTCACACAATTATGTTGTAAAATTATTCATTTTATATAAAATGTGTCTGTAAGGGTGTGGCATATAGAATTATGACTAACTTACTCAAACAAACTTTAACAAATTGACAAAAGAGGTCACTACAAAACCAACACCTAGCAGAGCATGATCTGTCTCCTTAAGCAAATACTTTGGCTAAACATTCCACCATTACAGGTGGGAAGGAAGAACACCCTGATGCCACTAAGAGTAATAAAAGGAAATGCAGCCTTTATTAATGGGATTGTTCATTTAAGACCTCACCTCACAAGGTAACAGTACAGAATATAAAGGTTCCTCATAGGGCTGGCAGATGACTCAATGGATGGAAACGCTTATCACCAAACCTGATAGCCTAAGGTTGAACAGCAGAACCTACATGGTGAAAGAGAAGATCTGATTCCTGAAAGTTGTCTCTGTCCTCCACACATGCATTGAGGCATGCACAGTTACACACACACACACACACACACACACACACACACGTGCACGCGCATATGTACACACTCACACAGTCAAACACATATACACTCATATACACACTCATAAACACATATACACACTTAAATACACAAACATTCACACACATATACACACATACTCATACACACACACACATTCACACACACACATTCACACACACAGAGATATATACTCACACACATATACACATACACTACATTAAATCTAATAAAAATATTAATAAAGGTTCCAAAAATCCCAAAGCCAGATAGGTGGTTTCCATGTGTGTCTCTCATAAGGCACACGTGGAAACCACCTGTCCTGTAGTTTCCAATCTTCACACACCTTAGAGTAGCTTGAGACATATTCTCAGGGAGGATCGCCATATTCCTGAGATGTCAGGTACAAGACCAAGGATGTTATTATTAGTAACGAAGAGAACTTAACTGAGGTATTTTATGGCTGAGATTTTGTTCATGTGAGACAGAGGAACAGAGACTTTAAATCTAAGGACTTAAAAGTAGCAAACTCTGCTACAGTCACCAGACACTCACTCCATGAAAGCTAAGAAATTAATGAAAATATTTTGCACCAAAAAAGAGGCAGTTTTTTGCTTGTTTGTTTTTTTAACATCTTAGATGAAAGACAGAAAATCTCTTTAGTGGCAGAATTCAACTTTCTGAGGAACAAACACACCAGAACTTCTGTCCACAAATTTCCTTCTAATCAAGCACTTAATCTAACTCATGGCTTCCTGAACTGCTCAGAGTAATGAGACATCTTTTCTGCTGCCGCCAAGTGCCTGGGCAGGGTTTCCAATTTGCCAAAGGCAGAATCACAAACGATTTAAGTAATACTGAAGATACAGGCCCACCAGAGCTGTAGCCTACAGCTGACTATGTTCACCTCAGGAAGTATGAAGCTGCTGGCACTCTCTTATATAGTGCAGGCCTCGGGAACAGATCTAAGCACTCACTACAGACTTCCAAGAAGACCTTATCATAGATAAGCCCACAGGACAGAGGAGGAAACCGAGATCCTCTGGTGAACATCTTTCCCAAAATCAAAAGCCGTAGGTGTCAATGACAAGATTCTGGTCCAGAGAACCATGCTATTTACCCTGGAAACTGTGTGCTTGGTATGGCTCTTGTTTCTTTGGTTAGGTAAACAGGAAGTACACATAAAACTCAGAATACCTAAAAACTTTGGGGTTGCTAGCTTTGTCCAAACTAGAATAACTCAAACATTTGGACATTTTCTCTAAGTTGTTAACATAAATATTGTGTTAATGCTGAGCTCAGTCTTATTATGTTAATGAAGAGCTAGTCTTCAGGAGGATCCAGATTAGATTGCCAGCATCCATTGGGGGATTCACAACCATCTCTAAGTCCAGTTCCAGGGAATCCCATTCACCAGTTTGGCCTCGGCAGGCACCAGGCATGCAAATATACACATGGGCAATAAAACCCCACTCATATAAATAACACATTTTTAGGTTTTTTTGTGTTTGTTTGTTTTTTCAAGACAGGGTTTCTCTGTATAGCCCTGGCTGTCCTGGAACTCACTCTGTAGACCAGGCTGGCCTCGAACTCAGAAATCCGCCTGCCTCTGCCTCCCAAGTGCTGGGATTAAAGGCGTGTGACACCACTGCCTGGCAACACATTTTTAAAACTTTAAAAATTAGTAATTCTTTAAAAGGCGATCTTATCTGTTTATAATGACAAGGTTTGAGGGAAAGGGGGTCCAAGAGAACAGTGTGAGGTCTAACAGCGAATAATATTGATAGAGGTTAGGTGTTTATTCTCTCTAGACTTACAGGCCAATAGAAAAGTTTATTGTTAAATCAGGTTTTATTTACCCTCTCTTTCACACACACATAGATCCTAGACTTCTCTCACCCTACCTTCCTCCCTTCTCCAACCCTCACCAACACTTCCATATTAAGAAATTAGAAATGTTCTGATGTACCTAACTATTGAGAGTCACGGTTGTATTTCTATCTGGGGATTCTGGCTTGACCCACTTAGCCTCCTGTTGGACTTTCCCACTGTCTCCCATCTTTACATTTTAGAATCCATCCTTCAATCTTCAAGGACAAGGACCCTTCCTCTGAGTTATATTTGAAGACTACTCAGGCAGTGCTTTGGAAGCGGAGCATGTACCACCCACACTATTTAGATGTGCAGATCCTTACTCTCGTGATGCTTCTGCTTACTGACTGGGAAACTTGGAGGACGCTACAGGAGTGACTACGTGTCACTTCACATGGGAAAGTCTGAGAGCCACTGCCTCAAGATGGGGTTCATTTAATTTAGGGGAAAAAAGCAGATTAATAAATAAGTGAAAATAGCAGCCAAAATATTACAAATGTGTGTCAGAGATAAAAAGGCAGAGAACATGAAGGATAGGAGGATGTAGTCCCTCACAGAAGAAAACAAATTCAAATTTACCCAGCCATAAGTGGACGCAGAAATACTCTCCAGTGTTTTTTTTTAAGCAGATGAAAATATTCAGTCATATAGAGCCAACTCAGGCCATTTGCTCCAAAACTCAAGAATAAAATAAACATTAGGCTCCTGTTATTTAGTACACTTAGGCAGGCAAAACTGCAGCCAGGTCTCAGTCTGCCCTGC